GGGGGCAGAGAGAAAAAGAGAGAAGACAGGAGAGAGACAACCAAAGCGAGAGAGGGAGAGAGACATTGTTTCAAGATGACTTCATAAATGAACGGCACAAGCAAAGTATCATTTCTACTTCTTTGTATTTGGTACTGATACTCTATACTGTACACATATTTGTTTACGTCACACTGTTCCACCTTTTTTAGGACCTTAAAACTGCCCATAACAGTAGTTCCACATACTCAGACGTTTGCTTTCTGGAGAATCTTATGCTGGCTTTACACAGTGAAATTTTCAAGCAACTAGTGTTGCAACTAGTGCTGTGAGCTGCATGCAACTTGACAGTTACACAAAGCAATCCATAAGCAAAGTTGCATGCAACACATTCAATTATTCCAGTAGTGGGCCAAACTAGCAACTCATATTTTTGATATATTGCAGTGTTCTCCATGTATGAAGTCATTTGTGATATATACATCTGCCTGTGTAGCAGTCTTATTTTTTCAACTTTATTACCACTCATTTTTCTTTTTGTTTTTTATCTATTTATCTGTCTGTCTGTGGATCTTTAATATATATTTGAATGTATTTGTTCTGTGTATATTAAGCCTTTGAAAATGAATGTTTAAGTATGATTTGAAATGAATAGGGGTTGAAGAATTACAGTACCATGCAAAAGTCAGAAACCACCCTTCATATTTTCACACTTTGCGTCTATTACGGCTTCTATAAATTAATCTCCAGGCCTTTTTTGTCAAGAAAAGCAGCAATTCTTTTTTTCATTTTTGATGCATGACTACAGAATGTAGCTAGACTGTCAGTTCGCAAACTCTGCATAATAAAGTTAAACTTTACTCTTTTAAACTTGTTGAAAAAGTTATAAATTAGGCAGCATATAAATAAAATTGCAGCCTTTACATTTTAAAAATTGTGCCTTATCAAACTGCAATTTTTATATGAAAGTGGTGATTCATTCAGCCCTACTTGAGACAGTGGCAACGGTGACTGGTGTGTGCTGCTGCAGGTAATTTTGCAGTAAGTAAGCTGGCTAACTAGCCTACCATAACAGTAAAGATAATAAAGTAAACAACATACCAGGTAATGATGCACTCATGGCAGTTTAGTGCTGAGCAGTAGTGAAAAATTGTAGGTAACTGCCGGGGTTGGTAACAGTGGGCTGACGTTTGCATCTGTACTTAGCCAAGGAGCTAACATCGCAGTTAGCAAGTTGGCTAATATGTCAATAACTCTTTTTTTTTTTTTTTTGCCATTGGGAATGAAATTTTAAAGGGTCCCTGCTTAGACACTGCTAAAATTAGCATTGATGTTTCAGTGCCGCTATACCAAACCCTGTATCTTCAGAGGTCAACCCAGCCAAACAGTAGGGCGAAAATGTGAATTTGCATGACAAAAGTTTAACAAAGTTCAAAAAGCTAGTGTGACAATGGACCATTTCATGATGATGCACTGATAAAAATGATAAAAATGACTAATAAAATATCGTTACACTAACTAACATTAAATTTAAGCCTTTTCCTTTTCCTACGAAGTCACAAATTTCTTTTTGTTACAATAATGACAATACGTAAAGTTATCAATACTACGCACACCACTTTAAAGCTACATGCTCAGACTCAGAGACCATGGCCAAAACAAATTTGTTTACATGGCTGTCCTGCATCACTGATCTGAGTGATTCTGATTAGTTGAGATGCTTTCGTCTCGATCACTGCTGGGTCCACTTATGATTGAAGCAGCTGCAGTATGCTGCAGCTCTAACGCCAAGGAAGTCAACGCGAGGCCGCCTGCCTGTGTGCGTAGCTCGGATTGTGCGTGTGGTCGTCCTGCCTGTCAGCCCCCCCAGGAGACGGCCGAACCCCAGCCCATCTGGAAGTGAGACAGAAGCAGGTGCGTCTCTATTCCACAAAGACGGCGGGCAGAGAACTGCGCGAAGCCTGACATTTTCACATCCTGCCTTGTGTTTGCTTTTTCCACTCTCTGTGTTATTCTAGCGGCAGAACATGCCGGAAACGTGCTGCCGTGTTCAAACAGCGCTGACAGTTTTTACTGAATGCCTAGGCGGCCTGGCTCTCGTTCTTCAAGTCTCAAAATCCCCCACCTCCACCATCGCTGAGAATAAAAGGTTTATCGTAACGTTCAAAAGTTTGGGATCACTGAACGGTGAACGAAATGGATCCCTTCTTCCTCTGTATTAGTATTTTGCTATGTGAGTGTGAACTTTGAATTTGGTAAAGAATAAGGGATGATTAAATACAGTACTGTGCAAAAGTCGGAGACCACCCTTCATTTATCCACCATTTATCTTTATGACAGCTTTGGTTAGTTTCAATAGACTTGATTACAGTTCATCAAATAATCCGCAGGGATATTTTTCACATCTTCAAAGTTCAGTCTTACAAGTTGGTTGCATTTTCTGCTTCTCACGATCCAAATAATCCCAAACACATTCAGTGATGTTGAGGTCTGGACTGTGGGGTGGTCAGTCCACTGTTCTGAGAACACCAGCAGCTGCTTTGTTTGATTGGCAGATGTTCTTCTGTTCTCAGTAAGATCTTCTTGACAGCTACAGATTCTTTCAGACTCATAGTGTTGAGTGTCTTCTCACAGTGGACGGATGGACAGAAACACCTGTGAAGTTTTTCAGATCTGAATCAAGAGCGGAGCTTGATTTTCTCCTCTCTCTCAAAGGTGAAAGCTTTAAGTGATGTTTATCCGATGTGGACGGGTTTGGTGGTCTAACAGGTCTTGCAGGTGGTTGTTAGGAGTCCCATTTTCTCTGTATCTTTTCATTAATTTTCACTTTTTTTCTTGACTTCCACTTCTTCATGCAAGTAGATTATCTCATATCCAATCTCCTTGGAAATGTCTCATTTCCATTTTGACTGGGAATTAAATAAATGAAGGGTGGTCTCTGACCGAATAATACTGTAATTTAACGGATCAGATACTGTATAAAATAAGCCTTATTCATTTACGATCCTTGTGTCTTTTTTTGCGCTCTATTTACGGGACTGTCACAGAGACACCACACATGTAGATAAACTGACATTATCTGCAGCCAGCAGGAGTGAGGCACTTTTTTAGAAGTTAACAAGGTGGGCTAAATCTCTGCAGAACTGTTTAAAGGTGGAAAATTAGAAAGTCATTATACACAGGTTTACTGTGTTTGAACCAGTCGTCTCTCATGTAAACATGGGCACGTAAAATGTGAGCATGCAGCCATTATGTCAATCTATTTTCTGCTGTTTACCATGAGCAGCCAGCCTAACCTTAACCATGTGGGAAGTTCACTCTCACCAACTATACCTGTGAGAGAGAGAGAGGGGTTAAAAAAGAGAGCAGTAAAGAGAAAAAGAGGGGGGGAGGAAGAGAGAGAGACAGAAAGAGAAAGAGAGAGGTAGAGAGAGAAGAAAACAGAGAGAAAGAGAAAGAGAGGTAGAGAGAGACAGAAAGAGCAAAAAGAGAAAGAAGAGAGGTGTGGAAAGAGACAGAGAGGAGGAGAGAATAGTAAAGAGAAAGAGAGAGGAAGAGAGAAAAACAGAGAGAGAGAGAGAGAGTTAGAGAGAGTGTAGAGAGAGGGAGCAAGAAAAAAATAAAGAGAGAGATATAGAGAGTAAGAAAGAGAGTAGTAGGTAAGGGTAAAAAAAGAGAGTGGTAAAGATAAAGATGTAGAGGCAGAAGTAGAGAAAGGGAGAGAAAGAGAGAGCGACAGAGAGAGAGAGCAAGAGAGAGAGAGAGGGAGGTAAAAGACAGCAGAAGAGAGGGAGAGGAAAGAGACAGAAGGAGAAAGAAAGCGGTAGAGAGATGAGAGAAAGAGAAAAAGATAGGGAGAGGTAAAGAGAAACAGAAAGAGAAAGAGAGAGGTAGAGAAATGAAGAGAGAGAAAGAGAGATAGAGAGAGGTAAAGAGAGACAGAAAGAGCAGAAAGAGAAAAAAAAAAGAGAGAGAGGTGTAGAGAGATATAAAGAGGAGTACCTAGTGGTTAAGAGAGAGGTACCGAGAAAAAAAGGTAGAGAGAAGGACAGAGAAAAAAACAAAGAGAGAGATAGAGAGAGTGGTAGAGAGAGGGAGAGAGAAAAATAACGAGAGAGAGTAGTAGACAGAGAGCAGTAGATAAGGGTAAAGAAGGAGAGTGGTAAAGATAGAGATGTAGAGACAGAAGTTGAGGGAGGGAGAGAAAGAGAGAGCAACAGAGAGAGAGAGAGAGAGAGAGAGAGAGAGAGAGAAAGAGGTAAAAAAGACGAAGAGGAATAGAGAGGCAGAAAGAGAAAGAGAGAGGTAGAGAGATGAGAGAGAAAGAGAGATAGAGAGAGGTAAAGATAGACAGAAAGCAGAAAGAGAAAAAAAAGAGAAAGAGAGACAGAGGTGTAGAGAGAGAGCTAGAGAGAGGAGTAGAGGGTAGTAAAGAGCGAGGTATAGAGAAAAAGTGGTAGAGAGAAGGAGAGAGAGAAAAACAAAGAGAGAGAGATAGAGAGAGTGGTAGACAGAGCAGTAGATAAAGGTAAAGAGAGTGGTAAAGATGTAGAGTCAGAAGTAGAGAGGGAGGGAGAGAGAGAAAGAGAGAGAGAGTGAGAGAGAGAGAGAGAGAGAGAGGGGGAGGTAGAGACTGGTAGAGAGATATATAGTTTTGCAGATTATTTTCGGAGGGTGTGGACGGTGTGAAAATAGCAGCAGCCCTGCTGTTACTGGACCTGAATGGACTTGGACATCTTTAAGCCTTTTCCACACAGGCTGACTCCCAGCCTGTCAAACTGCCTTACAGCTCTGTGTGATCAGTTCCCAACGCCAGGCGAGCTGGGCTAGAGCCTGTTGGAAATGATCCAGAGTGTCCAGCAGATTGCAAGGAAGCTAAATCAAACACAACTGGACCGGGCAGCTGGCTTGCAAAATTGAAACCTCGCGTAAAACGCATTTATAAAGCAGCAGTTGAGTGCCATATGGAGTTTACTGGTGCTTTACTGCTCTATACTGCACTAGCAGAGTGGCTGTAGTACCTTATTAAGGCTGCGGGCAGCACTGTCTTTGCCTCCGGGGGTCAGATTTCGGAGCTGGACGTCCAGCAGCTCCACCAGCTGACCCAGCGCCTGGACCGTGTAGGTGACATCCCCCGCATGGACGTGGCTTTTGGTCTGCTCTGAAAGCTCTCGAGAGATGATGGCCGCCGGCTCTCCAGCTTTGATCTGTGAAAAAAAGGGACATTTATTTAGTGCTGTTAGTTAATGCTGAAGTATACAAAGACAACACTAAACACCTTTGAGATGAAATGGAACGTTGATTGTGAGCCAGACCTTCTCGTCCAACATCAGTGTCTGACCACACAAATGCTCTTTTGAATGAATGGGCGCAAATTTGTACAGACACACTCCAAAATCTTGTGGAAAGCTTCCCTGGAGGCTGTTATAGCTGCAAAAATGAGGTCTGCTCCAGATAAACACCCATAGTTTTGGAGTGGGACGTCCAACAAGCCCATAGAGGTGTGACGATCAGATGGCTGTAGAACTCGCAGTCTCTATTTCATATGTTTATTCACAGCCATAGCATTCCCCTGTTTGGCACTGCTATATGAAGTCTAGCAGCTTCGGTGGTCAGCACAGCCTAAGCAGCAGTGCTGTTGATTGAACACTGCAAAAAATAGTATTTTGTCAAGTTAAATTATCTTAAATATAGCCGATATATCCACTGTGTCACCTGTTGAGATGATTGTAAGTTTATTTAACCTATTTCCAAACATTTTTACCTGTTTTGAGTAATTTTATTAAGTAAAATTATCTCACTATGTTGGCAGATCATTTTGCTTGTTTTGAGAAATGTGCTTGAAACAAGTTAAACTATCTGCCAGTATAGTGAGATAGTTTTACTTAATAAAATTACTTAAAACAGATAATAGAGTCTAGAAATAAGAATAAGAATAAGAATATAATAATATTATATATATTGATTATATTGATTAGATATATTGACAAGAATTAAGAATTTAGTTAAGCAAAGCTGTCAAGGTTGGACTCAAAGTGAAATTGCACATGTAAAACTATTTCACCAATCAAGTTTGCAATGCAAAATCCATTACAATGAATGTAATTTTGCAAAAATTCACTGAAAACACTAGTGTGACTGGGCCTTAATGTGCATGTCAGAGATCTTTCTAATACATTTGCCATGAGAACCATAAACACATGTAAACAGTGTAGGAATAGGTTGATTGTGCCCATTTATGATAAACATGTTGGCCTTACTGATGCGTTCACAAGTTGGTGGCAGACTAGATATTTCATTGTTTCAATAGAGCTGCAATGGAAAGTCCAGCCACTGCTCTTGCCAGCAGTCCTGTTAAGAGTTCAATTTTCCCCACTTTTGCCCTTGATGGCAGTGAAATAAACCAGATGTTGATTTTTTTTGGGAGCCATGGATGCCAAACATCTCATTGTTGAATTTCAGGTGAACTCAGTCTTACGCAACACAAAATAAAAGAGTACCACATGTCCTCCTCACTGGTGAAGCTGTCAACACGCTGGCGTTTCCATGGCTTCATGCCATTGTCGGTCACATGCTGCTATGCAGCACAGAATGACCTTTTTTTCAATGCAAATACAATTTTTCACTTTTTTTTATTTTGGCAAAAAAGGCAGATTATCTGTCAAGAAGTCCTTGTTTCTCATAAAACGGGCAAACGTGAGATGTGCTGCATGCTTCCCACTTTGGAAAAGCGAAAGGAGAACATGAAGGTTCTTCGCCTCATTCAGGAGCTAAAAAGTTATGAACTCGAGTCGATTTTGGAGATGCAGCTCCACAAAAAGACAAAGCACAACACAAATAATGACTAAGTGTAAATAGCATCTCCTTTGCTCCTCACAGAACAGGCGAAGGGGGGACGCTGTCCATTCTGGAAAAGTGAGAGTAGTGCAAAGAGTTTCACTGATTCACTCAGAGGCTGAAATTTTGAATGCTTCCACATGTTACAGAGATGTTTGCAGCTGCTTTTAGGGATTCTGACACTTATTTCTGAAAAAGTTCTGGTTGCACAGCCAATTCACTATCTTGGTTGTCGTCATGCCAACAACAGACATGACTGTGATTGGTCAGGGAGTTCATGTCACTGGCGAGAGTCTGCAAAAATCAAGGGCAAATAAAATAATGTTGAATTTTTGCTGTCCAAAAATTGCATTTAGTCTGCAAGATAAAAAAAATGATACATTGATTTATGAATAAACTGTGCTGGGTGTGTATAGGCCTTTATGACGGCCTTGTGAAGGAGTTATGAAGACATCCCTGAGGGATAGCTTTTAGGCACAGTTTCATCTAGAATGAGCCTCACAGCCCTGCAGTCGGAGCCTCCAGCTGGTGATGAAACGTTGTTTTTGTCTCGATACTTTTTAGTACGTCTTTCTGTTTTCGACACACTGTGGTTCCAAAGCCTTCAGCGAGTCTTCCTCTGCTCCAGGGCCACGGAGAATGCGTTCCCGTCTCAAACGAGCTTGTCACTTCCTGTTGTGGTGCAGCCAGCCAGCGCCGGGTTCTTTTAAGTCAGGATGGAAAAAATTGTAAAAAATAAATAAATAAAACATATATATACAACACCATTGGAACAGAGCGGCTCCGGTGAACCGCTTTCTTTCGTGCTAATTTTTTTTCTAGAGAGTGTTTCTTTTATTCGAGGGAAGGATTTAATTAAAAAGCTCCTCCAGTGAAGGAACAAATGTGTTTATTTGCTAATGAGAGTCGTGTAGCCGGCGAGGAATAACCAAAGCTTTGTAGTAGTCTGGCCTCACTGCTGGCACTTAAATTACTGAGCATATCTCTGCCAGCCAGCTTCCATAATCACACACACACGCGCACACACGCACATGCGTGTGCCGTCGCCTCTTTTCAGAATGCAGAGGTGCTCCAGAAACGCTCCAATTCAGACTGAACAGAAAAACAGCACTTGTTAGGTGCTTCACTGGAGCAAAGGCGCCGCATTAAGATGCAGAAGATGCCGAATCAAATCAATGGCTCAGACTCGAGTGTGTGAGTGCCAGTGTGTAGGTGTGAGTTCACGCTCAGATACTCCTCTCACACCTTCATACTGCAGGCCATGTTTCCCGAGATCAGCGCCGCTAGTGTGGTTTTAGTGGCGATCGTTTAATGTGGAAAAAAAAAAGTTGGCGAAAGAAAATACTAATTAACAGCAGATGTTCCATAAAGTTTTAAACAAATCTCTTAAAAAGGCCAAATAAAGTGCTAACAGCAGTTGTTCTGCAAAATTTTGAGTCAATTTCAGAAAAAAGTCATACAAATAGATACCAATTATTGACAGATGTGTCTCAAAATTTGGAGTAAATTTAAAAAAAAAAAGATTATAGAAGAAAATGTGAAATGTGACCGACCCACAACAACTGAATTGTGTATTACTACGCCACAGCACGAAAAAACCCTCGTGCAGTTAATGGATAATTAACGTCCAGCAAATAATCTTTGACTCTCATGCCGCTCACACTGACCACCGAGTACATTGATGGAGTACAAACACATCTTTTGTTTAAACTGAGGGGCTGACCACTTATCTTCTTAACTAGAACTGGGCTGGTCAGCTAGCCAACAGGCTAAAAGATAGCTAACAGCATAAACAACTCCATCATTAACGTCACAGGCTTGAATTAAAGCACTTACAGTATGATTAAGTATAAAACAGCAGAGCAAAAGTCTAAAAATGTTACTTGAATCGATTACACGCTTCAAATTTTAGTGGTTCAGAAGTAGCGTCAAACCCAGGCTGAGTCCCAAATGGCTCTGTATTGCTTAAATAGTGTGCTAGCTATGAAAGTTTAGAATTTCTAGCCTCTACAGCCAAATAGAGCATCATTTATCGAATACGGATGTGGCTGATAAGGCACTTGCTGTGAGTTTGACTGGGCCGCGAACATGGAGACTTATCATTATGGTAGCGGAGTCTGAGGTTGTGATCTCAGAGACTGGACCACAACCTCAGACTGGGAGAATTTTCACAGCAGTAGCAGAGTTCAACTGGCCCAAGAACCCTGAAACTTTTCATCATACTAGCGGAGTTTGACTGGGCTGCGAGCCAGAAGACTTTTCACACTGGTAGTAGAGTTTGACTGGGCCGTGAATCTGGTGACCTTTCACCACTGTAGTGGACTTTGACTGAACTGTGAACCTGGAGATTTTTCACCACAGTAGTGCAGTTTGCTGGGTCACATGCCAGGAGACTTTGTGTAATGACAGCGGAACCTGACTAGGCTTCAAGCTGGGGAACCACACACTCTGGTTGCGAGAGTTTCTCCTTGCCAGATGAGGAACTGTGTGTGTGCTTGAGTTTTGTTTGCTGTTCTTTTTAATCCTAAAGTGCTGTTGGGTATCGTCAAAGTCGATATATAAATTAAGCAATGAATTAAACTGTTTAACTTAGTTTATTAATTGAATAATAACTGACAGATTCTTTCATTTCAGAAATAACTGTTAGTTGCTACTTATATGAGGCCAATAAAAAACCAAAGACCAAACTGTTTAAAACACAACTGTCAATCTGGAGACCAGCTTTAAAACAACTCGACGTTGGCAGGAGGGTCCAAACTTTAAATGGTTAACTGTAAAAACACTATAGATTTGTGTTTGTTTACTTATTATCTGGGAGGTGATGCAATCAGCCACATATAAAGAAAGGCACTGTTAGAACAAAGCGTGCGTGTCTGTGTGTAAGTCAGCGTGTATTGATTTACTCGGCCATCACTTCTAATCATCAACTTCATGTTTATTAACTAAACCAATTACACAGACTTAATTACCTTCTAAAAGATCGGACACCATGAGTGCACTCATCTACCTATTCTACCAATCCCTCTCTCTTTCTCTTTCTATCTCTACATTTCTGTCGATATCTCTCAGTCTCTCTCTTCTCTTTCTCTCTCTCTCTCTCTCTTTCCCTTTCTGTCTCTACCCCTCTTCCTTTCTCTCTCTCAATCTACCTTTTACTCACTCTCCATCTCTCTATCCCCCCTCTTTGTTTCTCTCCTTCACTCTCTTACTTAACCTCTCTCTATTGTTTTCTCTCTTTCCTTTCCTCTCTTTCTCTCTCTGTTTCTTCTTTCTCCCTCTATCTCTCTCCAATCTCTCTCTCTCACACACACAGGTTGATCCTTATTTCTCTCTCTCTTTCTCTCTCTTCTCTATCGCTTTCTCTTCTCCCTCCCTCTCTCTTCCTCTTTCACTCTTTCCTCACTCTTTTCCCTCACTCTCTCATTCTAGTCTCTCTTTTCTCTCTGAATCTCTCTCTCTCTCTTTTTCCCTATATCTCTCTTTATCCTCCCTTTCTCTATCTCTATTCTCTCTCCCTTGCCATCTCTCTCTTCCTCTCTTTCACTCTCTTTCCTCAATCTTTTCACTCACCCTCCGCTCTTCTCTCTCTCTTTTTCTCTATCTTCATTTCTCTCTCTTTCCTCCTCTCTCTCTTCTTCTCTATCTCTCTTTGCTCCCTCCCACTCCCTCTTCCTCTTTTTCACTCTCTTTCCTTACTATTTTCCCTCACTCTCTTCTTCTATCCTCTCTTGCTCTTCTAATCTCTCTATATATATCTCTCTCCCTCTCATAGGTTAATCCTCATCTTTCTCTTTCTCTCTCTCCATTCTATCTCTTTCCCCCTTCTTCTTTATCTCTCTCTTCTCCCGCCCTCTCTTTCACTCCCTTTCCTTAATCTTTCCCTCACTCTCTCTCTTTCTTTTCTCCCTTTCTCTCTCTCAGTCACTCTCTCTCACTCTCCCCCAATCTCTCTATATATCTCTCTCCCTCTCTTTCTACTTCCCTCCCCTCCTCTCTCTTTCTGACAGGTTGATCCTCATTTGAAAGTCTAAGTTTCCGTGGCGATGGGTGCATCACTCTCTCATAAATTCGCCTAACAAAGAATAATAATACGAGACTTCAGATTTAATTCCCGTCCTATAAATCATTCTCGCTGGGTTAATGAAGTATACATAGACCCCCAAATCCCACCATAATCAGCTCGCACACTCGAACCGGTCCTGTGTTTTAAATGAGTGTGTTTTCATACTCCTCTATTTATCTACAGGGAGCGTTTTTTTCTTTTGATTTCCAGGAAAACAAATAAGGTACAAATAGCAGCAAGTGCAGACTGTCTTTAGGGGATACTTTAAATGAAAAACTGTAGCAGCAATCAAAATCACTCTTTTCGCCTCACCCACTGATTCCCCCGTCCCCCCGTTCCCCTTAACCCCCCCCCCACACACACACACAGTGCTTACACTCCCTCAGTGTTCAACAGTATGTGGATAATGGGCCAATTTGAGGTTTGAATGCTTGTGCAACGTCATGAGTGTTATTGCTTGGGGGTCTCGTGGTGCTTTTTAGTGTGTGTTGGTATAAGTGTGTGAGTGTGTGTGTGTTTGTACATGTATTTTTTAATTGAGAATACTCTCTTGCTGCCTATACATGCTGAAATTAAACGTTCTAAGTCTTTGGAGTAAAGAAAGAAAGAAACAGATCTAAACTACAGGACCAACCAAAATCATGACTGTAGAAACTGCTTTTAACAAAGTTTTAAAACTGAACCTTTTCTTTTTGGTTCCTGAGCTTAAGATTATGGTTAGTTTTAGGATTAAGCTTTGAATAGTCGTATTACCTACAGATGCTTATCTTCACTGTGGGAACAAAATCTTGCATCTCCATTTTTGCTGTTGTTCTCGTTTTTACATAGTTTGAAAACACAAGCTGCAACTTACACTGTGTCAGAATGTCGAGAGAGCCAAACCAAATGATCTAAAATAACTACAAATCATTACATTCATTTACAGTGAAAGTTTTAGCTTCGCATGTAAAGTTATTTTCTTGGTTTTATCCCAACCGCGGCAACACATAGTACTGTGTAAAAGTCCCTCACTCCCCCCTCACTCTCCTCTCTCTCTCCTTATAATACTCTGAATTATGAAGATTGCTTATTTATCTCAACAGCAAATGTGTTGTTGCCAGTAAACATGCTTCTTATGAGAATGAAAATTATGTGTAAACAATATTTGAGTCATATTACAATAATACATATATTGCGTATTATTATACTATTATTACATATGTTACAGGTAGTGTATGTTACATTGTTACAAATGTATGAACAAATGTGTATTTGTGTGTGTGTTTGTGCGTGTGTGTGTGTGTGTGTGTGTATGTGTGTTTGTGCATTTACCTTTTGGTTGATGATGTTGACCCAGGCCGAAGTGCAGTTGCTGAGATCTGGTCCCTGCAGGTCCCACAATCCTTCAGGTCCCAAACAGGCAAACGAAGCAGTGCCTACAAAGAGGACCAAACCATTTATTAATTGTTTTTCAAACTAAAAAAGTAAAACTACTCATTTTTGGTTACAGAGGTTAAGATTATATATGTATATACATGTATATAGACAAATGTATTGGGACACACCTCCTAATTACTGAGTTCAGGTGTTTCAGTCACACCTATAGATAACAGGTATATAAAATTAAGCACAAAGCCTTGCAGTCTTAATAGACAATGGCAGTAGAATGAGTCATACTGAAGAAATCAGTGGCTTAAGTGATGTAAAACATGCCACCACTGTGGAGCGATGAATCACGCTTCTCTATCTAGCAGTCTGATGGACGAGTCTGGGTTTGGTGAAGGTCAGGAGAACGTTACCTGCCTGACCGCATTGCGCCAGGTGTAAAGTTTGGTGGAGGAGGGATGATGCTATGGGGTCGTTTGTCAGGGCTTGGCCTAGGACCCTTAGTTCCAGTGAAGGGAAATCTTAATGCATCAGCAGACCAAGACATTTTGGATGATTGTATGCTTCCGACTTTGTGTGAACAGTTTGGGGAAGAACCTTTTCTGTGCCAGCATGACTGAGCCCCAGTGCACAAAGCAAGGTCCATAAACATATGGCTGGGTGAGTTTGGTGTAGAAGAACTTGACTTGCCTGCACAGAGCCTTTCAGGAAACTCCTTGCTTTCATTACAGTATCCATTCTTTTCTGAAAACATTCTATATAACTTCTACTTAAAGGCCATTTTGACTGGAAATTAAATAAACAAAAGGGTGGGGCATATGTGTGACCTCATATATGTCCATGTCTTCACATTTAGGTCACTACATCTTCTCAGTGAGGCCTCAGCTAGACTTTCTGCCATGATCTGTAATTAGCATTTAATGAAACAGCTTCAAAGTTTCCCTTTCTTTTTAAACTCTACACACACACACACTGTTCTTTCTTGGCCACGGCCGATTTGCTGTAGTTTCCAGTGGGGATTAGCCGCTAGGTTAGTTAGCTCGATTTCCGGAGCAGCTTTTCCAGCACTGAACTCTGGACACGCAAACAACTCCAATGTTCTTGGGGCCAATTAATTACGGCTATCAGAGTGTGGTTCACATTTGATCATCCAAAGACTTGAATCGCTCGCTAAAATGCAGAAACAATGAACATACAAAGAGGCGATTAGCGTGCGCTAACAGTGCTAAGTGGTTTCCTGCAGGACGAAATGAATGCTGCACTATTCTTCTAATTGCAGCCTTGTTGCATAAAGTGTGAGAGCTGGTAATTGGGGCCAAGAGCGAGTCCCTCTGAGGGTGCGCATTTGTGCGTGGCCTAAGGTCTATCAGTAAAGGTCAATTAAGGACCCTGAAGGGTTGCATCTTATTCTTAGCACTAATGAGAGCCACTCACACACTTCTGACACACGTCTGAAGCTATATTTGTGGTCATTATGATGATAACAAATGTGGCCTTCACTTAACCTCTACAAATCTAGTGCTATTATTGGTGTTTTGCTGTACAATCTACTTAAATATAATTACATAATTGCATTACTTACAGCACAATTACTTGCACTGCTCAACAAGTTTAAGTCAAGTTTTACTTTGTGAACTTGAATTGTTTTTTTTATTACATGCACATTTCAAATGTGACATCTTCAGCATGTTCCAAAAAGGGTACCATTGTGTTACGTCACCCTTTTAACAGCACTTAATCAATATTTGGAGACTAAAGACACCAATTTATCCAGTTTTGGAAGAGGAACTCTGGTGGAAGAGGCAGATGGTTGTTAGGAGCCTCTATTTCTTCATATCTTTTAATCATTTTTTAAACCCCAACTTGTGTTTTTTCACTTATTTCTGTATGAATCTTACGTCTAATCTACGAAATCTCTACTTTAGCCATTTCAGATGTCCATGAGAAGGAAATGTAAAGGCAAGGTGGGTTTAGGTAGTTGAATAGCTTAGGGAACAGCTTTTGTTTAAGATGAGAATGATGGAAGAGAATTCCACCCAGAGAAGTCAGCAGTATTTCTAGAAGCTGTTGATATATGGCTTCCACTGTGCAAAGTAAAGTATTAACTAAAGCGAAAAACAATGTTTATTGGCCCATGTGGTGATGTTCATCACAGAAGCAAGTCAGTTTTTAATAGAGTGATGTCTGAGAGGTCGAAGGTCACAGGCATTTAGTTGTGGTTTTTGGCCTTTTCCTTTATGCACAGAGATTCTTCCAGATTCTCTCAATCTTTCATGATCAGATGCTGAAAGCAACTGACTTTGTGAGAAATTTAACTGTAAACATTTTTGTAGGATCTCACATCAAAACCTAATTAAATAACAGCTGCTGCTCTTCACATTGTGTGAACATTTCATGAAAATGGACATAAATGAGCAAAATAATTGAATGGAATGAAATCTTGTCACTTTTTTTATCGTTTCTGGTTATGAGTTTTTGTCACAGTAGTGACGATATACAAAACAGAACACAAATGGTAAATGTTGTTCCTGAAACCAACTGATTTAAAGTGCAAGCTGACCGCCAATCACCCATCAACCACATACAGAAGCCGGCCAGAGTCCTCAAACAGAGCACGACGAAAGAGAGAAAGAGCGGCTGCAAATTCCGACAGCAATAAACTGATATAAAGTTTGACTGACACTTCATTTCCCTCTACAGAGCTACTCTCACTCGATCATTCCACCTGATAAAGAGAAAAAGAGAGAGGGAACAGAGGGAAAGAGAAGGAGCGCAGGACGGGGTGGAGAGAGGAGTGAGAGACAGAGATGTGAGGGAAGAAAGATACGACAGGGAAAAAAAGAGAGTGAGAGAGAAGAGAGAGAGAGGGAGTGAACGAGAGCGAGGGCAGAGTAGAGGTGAGAGACGAAAGGGAACAGGGAGGAAAGCAGATGGTGAGGGTAGCGAGGGAGGATGAACAGAGTACTGCAGAGGGAGAAAGAAGAAAGAGGACGAGATAAAGAGGAATGAGAGAGGCAAGTAGAACAAAGAGAGAGAGGAGAGAGAGAGAGAGCATGACAGAGTGCACAGAAGAGAGACAGAGCAAAAGAGAAAGTGAAGAAAAGAAAGAGGGAGACTGTTGTGTGTAAAAAAAAAAAAGGAGGGGTAGAGAGAGAGACAGATGGAGAGAGCGAGCAAGTGAGAGAGAGAGAGGAGAAAGAGAGAGAAACAGAAGGAGATAGAAAGCAAGAGAGAAATGAAAAAGAGGGGGATGAACAGAGAGAGAGAGAGAACAAAGATGGGCCTTTAGTGTTGTGGACCTCAAGACCTTCGAGTCTCTCTTTTGTGAAAGAACTGATTTAACTCACTAATTTCTACTCAGATCTACGGAACTGAAGTGCTGAAGGACAGACATTTATGAAACTTGGTACGGTTGTTTATGGGACCCTGATCTTTACAAAGCCAGTTCAAACAGCAGCCGTGTGTCACCTTATATAAATCTAGAGCACTTTTTCAAACTGTCAAAATGTAACAAGTTAAAACACTTACGAGAGAATTAATATTTCCAGTGCTATCAGACTGCTCGTCCTTCAGAACAGTACACATATTAATATTCTCTTTGTCACACATCCATCCAGCCCTAACTCCCTGGCGGACTCAATTTCCCAGAACCCTCTGGGTGAACACATGACTGTGACCTCACCCCAGCCTGCATATCAGAGATCTGCCTTGAGTTATTTCACCTGCTTTTGTATGTCATGTGATGAGTTCAGTTGAGCATGTAAGCCCAGGCTTTAGCTTAGCTCAGTGTGAGGTGCTGCTTCTGTTACAGAGCTACTGAGTGGGTCTTCCTTGTGTTTTGATTGTTTGATTCTGGTTCTGACTTTCCTTCTGTATTTTTGTCTCTGCCTTTTGTCTGCCTGGTCTGATTTGTGTTATGTTTTTCTACTTGCATATTTTGCCACTTTTGGATCTGATCTTTGCCTGTTTTTTAATGACTCTGCAAAGTGAATCAACCAGTAAAGCCTTGTTTGCTTTTTTTATCTGCACAGGTCTGACTCGTCACATTACACTCTTTCAATCATGACTGTGCTAAATCATGTGGCATCTTTGTAACCTGATAATCAGTGCAAGCACTGACTCCAGTTAGAAATTTGGGGCAAAACTCTTTCACAACAGCACAGGACCGAAAAGAGAGAAAGGTTACAAAGACACCAAAGGATACAGCTAAAAAGATAGAGAGAGAGAGAGAAAAACAAAAGACAGACAAGTAGAGAGAGAGAGTATATGAAAGTGAGAGAAAAAAGAGTGAAAGAAAAAACAAAAGATAGAGAAGTAGAGAGAGAGAGAAAAAGACACATAGAAAGAAAGATACAAAGTGAGGGAAAAACAGAGCAAAGAAACAAAGTGAGAGAAACAGAAATACGCCAATAAAACAGACAAAGAAAAGCAGAAGAGAGAGAGGCAGAGGGAGAGAGAGGAACAGAGAAAAAGAAAAATATAGAGAAAGGGAAAAAGAGAGGCACAGAAAGAGAGAGAAAGAAAAAAAAACAAAGTGAGAGAAACAGAAATATATAGAGCAAGAAAACAGAAAGAAACAGACAGAGAAAGAGAAAGACAGAAAGAGAGAGGTACAGAGAGAGTGAGAACAAGAGGGTGAGAGAGAGATGCAATGAGAGACCATGAGACAGAATGAGAGGGTAGGAGAGAAACAGAGATGGGAGAGAGAAACAGAGATGGGAGAGAGAAAGAGGGAAAAAGAAAGAGCACAAAAGAATATATGAAATAGAGGGAGAGTGAGAGAAACAGAGAGACACAGAAAGTGGTAGAGAGAGAGAGAGAGAGAGAATATGAAATAAAGCAAGTCAAAAAGTGGGAGAAAGAGAGAGACACAGGAAGAGAGAGAGAGAGAGAGAGAGAGACATGTATCCGGAACAGTAAAGCTGGTCTGTGTGTGTATGTAGATGGGGGTGTTTGATTAGAGAGCAGTGTCACCTCCTCATTATTTCAGAGTCATGTTCCTGAGCTCAGCTTCACATCTCCACGGATACGGTAACGAGACAACAGAGCCACAAGCCCCCCAACATACCACATCACGCCACACACAATCCCCTCAGTCTAAAACACACATCCATAGCAACACAGAGACTTCTTTGAAGTGTTATAGTGGCGTAATAACACAGCTAATGACAGGCTAAGACACATTTGGAGATTTTTTTAAAACATTCTTCAAAGTGGAGGTTTTAAAAAATATCTGATGTGGCTGATGAACAGGAGCTTTCTGTGGTCTGAAATATTAGATTTCACATATCACGTTTTTACTTAAAGGAGGACTATAACAAGATGTCTACAACACAAATAGCTATTTTATATACTATCCAAAAGCCCCAGTGAACCTAGTGAATGGCATGTTTTTAACACTGTGTTTGCATGCACTAAATAATCTGATAACTGCAGAAAACCAGATTTTCTCAGTAATCCAATCAACATGTTCACATGCACTTGAGTTATCAGATAGTGTGAAACTCCAGGTCCAAGTCAGGCAGTATTCGGATTTCTGCTTTGCAACCAGCCAAAAGACACACAGAAGAAGACGCGACGTAAACATAATGTAAAACTGAAACTTCATGCTGCTGCTTTTTTTCAAAAACGTTGCGCCACTTTACCTGAAAATATGAACATACATCATTTAGAAGATGAAGAATATTTAAAATTCTTCATTTTGTCAAGCATGTAGTTGGTTTCAATGTCACTCCAAAAGTGTTTTGCTGCCATTTTGTGGCAATGCTGCTTGCTTACTTCTGGTACCGCAGTCTGTTTCGCTCATGCGCAGGCTGAGAAATCTGGATGAAATCAGAGTAAGAGTGTCACGTATTCGGCTAGTCAGCCTATGAACTACAATTCCCAGAGTCCTACGCCTCATCACCAGACTCTGGGAAGATCATCAGCGGCCTATCACCGCTCAAGTTCTCCTGAATACTGATGATGTTCACCTGTATGTTTTTATCACATGACCTGTCTAGATAGTATTTTAGCCCGGGCTATAGTCAGGTTCATTGCGAGGTATTGCTTTCCTAGTGAAACTACTGAGTGTTATTTCTGGTGTGATCTCCCGTGTTTTTCTCCTTGTGTTTTCTCCTGTTCCTCGTTTACGCTGCTTTTTGGATTTGCCCTTTTGTACTGTTGCCTGGCTTATTGGATATTCGGTGTTTTGACTCATTGCCTGTGTTTTGGACTCTGCTCTGCTTTTCCCAGCTGGGTTATGATCGCCTTCTGTGTTTTGTTGTTTACTTTGGAACTGACCCACGCCTGTGTATTGATGATGATATATCTGCCTGAATCCCAAAGTAAAGCTTCTTCTCTGTTTTATAACCGTGAGCGTCTGCTGACCGGTCAAACGTTACAAAGAGTTTACTTACACTGAGAAATCTGATTACTGAGCTAAAATCCAGCTCGGATTTCTTAATTGGATTTCTAGACGTTACTCTGATCTAAGAAATCAGAACGTGCTGTTTGCATGACCATTTGAATAATCAGATAACTGCAGAAACCCGATTATGATCTGATTACTGAGACCATGTAAACGCACTCACATCAAAGTCTTATTTCTACAAAGCAAGGAAGAATCGTTTTTTCAGAATATGGGCCCCTTAATGTTTACTGTACCTAATGTAGATGAGATTGCTCTAGAAATGCAGCTGTTGAGCTGCACTGGTTAAACACACTTGGTGCGGCAGGCAGATATCATGCCTGTATAAGAAGCCACCTACATAGTTTAGATTGTAGGACCTCCTCAGACCACAGTGCCAGGATTCAGACAACAGACAAAAACACCTTCACATTTCAGGAAAGACACACAAGTAAAATCTCGTCTCAACTGAGGTGAAAGTTTCAAACAGCCTCAGAGAAGAAAGCATCAGGCTTAGCATCAAGCTAAGTATGGTAAATGGTAAAGTTCATGTGACATTCACAATTCTGTTCTTTCTTACCAGATTAATAACAAACTTCAACCACAACTTTTACAGTGCTTTTATATTATTTCACTAAGATTAATCTTCAACATGTTCTGCTCTCACTTTTAGCGCAAATGACCTCTAGTAACACGCTAAGAAATGTGAAGTCTGGTCGCATACATCACACTTCCCTCAGCACGAGGTTGTGTTTATGTGTGTATTCAGAGGGAATGATGGAGATAAACTACATCAAAGGAATGTTACTGCTGAACCATCTGATTCAGCAACTTGTCTCTCTTCAGCTCACAACACATCAATATCCATCTGTTTAAAACGTTGTCGACCAAAAAGTACATCTCTCCAGCTTAAATATTAACTACTTTAATCCCAGACGTATTACATACCAAGGCTTATTATTCAGGAAATACAGGGACTTCAATGCAAACTGGTTGAGCTATTCTTAGTTTATAGAAGTGTGTAATAAAACTTTGGGCCTGCCAGTGAGCCCTGGACTGGGTTGCACCAGGTTTGCCTAAGTTTATACTGAGGTTTGTGCATAAAGTCCTTAGTTAAACTAGTTAGTTTCAAACTATATTTTACTAAATTTGGTTGCACTGCAAATCTTAACTAGTAACAACTAACTAACGCGTACGTCACTTTAACATGACGACAACATTCAGAACCGATCAGTAAGCCTGCTGCTATGGAAACATGATAAAAGACTTTTTCAATTGAAAAATTCTTTAGCCTAGAGGAGAACAATATGCACAATTTAACTGAATAAAACTAATTATCTACAGCCACTGTCTGTTTATTCTTTAGTATTTCCCTGAGAAAATCAATTAGCTTTTTAAATTATGGCTTCTGGCCGACAGACACAACAGCAGCCTTAGTTTAGCTGTTTGGGCAGCTGCTGCGTCTCACTGAGCTGGAGCTGTGGGTGTTTAGATACATGCTTAGAGTTAAAACCAGGGCGATGTTTAGAGCTGTAAGTAAAATCACAGTGTATAACGTTTAGAATGTTTGGCTTAGGTAACCAAAAAAGTCATGTTTTAAGTTTTTTTTATGTTTTCTACATGGTTTCTGACGGATTCCCCAACACTTACACCTGCTCGGGGGGTGGGGGGGGGGTAAATATTTATTTGTGTGGTGCAACCCGTTCTGATTTAGTAATGCATAAACCTGAATTTAGTAAAAAACATTACAACTAGCCTACGTTTGAACATGCGCACAGCTGGTGCAACCGGCCACTGGCCATTTAAGGCATTAAATGGGAGTTCCACTGACTTTTTCATATTTTCTGCGTAATCAAATGGTTAAGGTTTAAACCCAGGATGGGGAACTAAGGGCAGAGACGAGCACAGAGAGTGGTTTATGTAAAACGCTCCGTACTTGTAAGAGCTTACAATTGCTTGGGTTAATGAAGATAACAATAAAATGCGACTGATATGTAACAAATTCCTGTTCATATGTGTTCATATGTGTTCTTTAACAAGGTAGGTTGTGACAAAATGTATTGGAGCACATTCGCTGAGCACAACACGTTCACTGGTGGTGTTGGATAGTAAATAAAATGGCTGTATTTGCTCTGTAGACATCATGCTGTCTGGTTCCTATCACCACCCAAAACAAAACTAGGTGAGTCTCTCTCCACTGAACCACTTCACACCAAACCACTTTGAACTGCTTTATTTACATCTTTAATGATTAAATTATGCAGAAATTAAAAATAAATCTGTGGAATTCTGTCTTTCTCTAATGCTCCTCTTTCTGTGTGCATGACTTTTTTAGACTTTCAATCAAGAGATGGAGTTGATGAAGTGCACAAAATTCCCGCTCTGTGCAGCATCACTGCCTGTTAGCTTCACTTTTACTCACACATGCACAATGCTGACATATTGAGTGTTAATTTGATGTCACTGCCGCTCATCACCTCAGTGAACGGAGCAAAGAAAACAGACAATCAGCACAAACAAACAAACAATAAACAAAGCCCCAGGTAAAACAGCCACCTCATCTCTGTCTGACATTTGTTACTAAAAAAGAGCAACAACAAAAACAAATAAACCAGTGGTCCACAAGCACATTAACACAGACATTTTGGAGCCTGCAGTATCTGCTTGTCTGGCCAAAAATGCATTTATTCATGTGTATTAAAATAGAAATTTTATCAAATTAATAAATATTCAGATAATATCTTTGGAGCCTTGAATGAAATTAGATTTGCCTTGACTAATTAACATGCTTCTTTATATATGGCATCCTTGGAGACTGAAGCTTAAGCTAGTTTGTTAACTAGGTATCCATTGCCACAGTCATAGCACCTTTCTGCAGGCCCCTTAGTGGCCCCCTAGTGGCCAGTTCCCCATATCAGGTTAACGAGGCTCTCTGTTGAGCTGCTCGTGAACAATCAGGAGTGAAAGGAGGGGAGTGAGAACCCCCTGCTGTGAAAACAATTCACACCTCTCCAAAAAGATTCGGAGATAAAATGTACAAATCCAGCTTTCTTGACATGACAAAATAAAGATTTAGCAGTTAAAAATTATGCAATAAAACAAAAAAGTTTTTTTTTTTGCCGGCTCACCCCCAAAAACCAAAACTAAATTTGCTTCTGGTTTTGTAAAAAAGACATATTTCCATAAAAATATCTTCCATCCAAGTTTCTGAAGGTAAAAAGCATAAATCCAAAACAGATGAAAACTGCATTTTATGCCTACTCTTAACTGTGAAGATATAGTGATACTTATAAGGCTAAATAAAAGCATCATGCTTTTTGACCAACCATAATGTAACATTTTATTTTATCATAACGTTTTGAAAGCTAATAAAAGTAATAAAGATTATTAACAATGTGGATTTAAAAGCATTAGTAATGTACCATAGAATAATTCAAGTCTTATGTCTGAAAATGCCTGGAAAATGCTTGTGGGCAGACCACTACAAACTTTTAGATAAAACTCACATATTATAGACAATTTTATCATATGATGCGTATTGCCCACCAGATGAGGTTGGGCAGTTTGAAAGACCCTGTGTAGACAACTGAAATAAACATAACATTCAGACATTACCTATAGTTCCAGCAGGACACGGCTGCATTGCAACCAGGCCTTGCCGTGTTTTGGGCCAGGTAAGCTCTGCCTCCACAGTGGGATTACAGAACTCCACAGCGACGTTGGGCAGTATGGAGGAGGGTGGGGGGCGAGTGCTGGACTCTGGGACAGCGCCCCCTGCAGGCTGGAGCTCCGTGGTGGTACTACGTGGGACAGCGGTGGTCAGCGCTGGAGCCTTTGTGGTGGTGGTTTTGGTGGTCATGGTGGTAGTGGTGGTTGTCGTGGTCGTCATGGAGACCGTGGTGGGGCGAGTGGTGGTCCTGGTGGTCGTGGTGTCCATCAAGATGTGAACGGAAGAAGAAGACTCTGAGGGAGGAAGGGGAGAGTGAGTGAGAGAGGGGAAGACTGAGCAACTTAGTTAGTTAACCTATCTAGCTGACGAATGTCAGCCCAAGCAGGATCTTCTTCTGCCCAAGCTGAGGTTTTTTGGGTTTGATCAGCAGGATGCGAATAGATGCCACTGCAGATGTGGATGTTATGGTATCCAGAGAAACACTGGCTGTTTGGAGTTATGTTAACAAATCAATAAGAGTGTTGAGCACTGCTGAAACAGCACGACAGCAGGTCTCCCACAATGATTCTTTATTGCTTTATTATTATTGCACATATATATATATATATATATAGTGTGTGTGTGTGTGTGTCTATATATATAGATACACATACACTCTCTCTTGGGTTCTGGCTGTCTCTTGATTACCATTATTCACCATCATTCATGGAAATCACTGTCAGTTATCAAAACTTTAAAGTTCAAAAATGCATCCTATCAGAGTAAAGTGGGCATAGAAGGGGAGGGGCTTATGCTACAGACACACCCACACTCAAATATTTGGGCTTTTCATATATTAATTCTAGGGTTTTTGATTTTTGAGGTTTGTTTTGTTAGAGGTGTTAAAAAATGTTATTTTGTTTATTTTTATTTATCTGAGCCAATCCATGCAGTATATAATCAGAGATCTATAGAATCAAGACACTTCATTACATAGAATTTTGAAAATAAAATCAAATCTTCGGCTCAGGATCGAAAATAATGTTGAACCTGAAACACGTATCGAAGCACCTCTAGTATGTTACAAAATATAATAATAATAATAAGAAGAAGAAGAAGAAGAAGAAGAAAAATGTCCTGATGTATGGATGCAGAAAAGTCATGGACTATTGATCACTATATGATAACTGTATAAAAATAGCGCTATTTGACTTCACTACTTCATTACTATGATTATTATGATAATGGCACTGTACAGTGTGGCCACAAAGGCTAATATCAAGGCAAAAGGACAGTTGTCAAATACAGAGAATTAAGAGATTTTGTCTGTAAATCAGCTGGTGTTTAGTCTGGCTGTAGCTCATCACTCACAAGACATAAACGTGATAAACCACACTCAGCTGCAGAGTGATAGTACTGTAGCACTAGATGGATTCGGCTCTTCCTGCTCTACACATAAACAGAGTCGGTGGGTAGACCTGCCTTCACAATAAGAGTCCTTATAGAATAACCCAGAAAAGAAATGCTGCAGAACAAATACCCCAGTATTGAGATGTTCACATTTCTTTCTTTCTTTATTCTTTATTTATTATTAGAATCTTTAGATGAAATTCAGTCTAAAATAAGTCTACAAAAAAACTGTAAACAGGACTTCTTTACATGAACCACAAATTTAAAAAAGAAAACATCAAAAAGAAGAATGCACTAAAATTCTAATTCTGCACGTTGCAATTGTACAGTCTACAAAAAAATGCTGGTGACCATCTCTGTGAAGCACAAGGTTATGACTGACCACCACACCTGCACAGTGACTGGAAATAAGGAGCTGAAATTAATTTAGCCAGCAGCATATTATGAGGCTGCAGCTTATACTGGGCCTTAGAGAAAGAGAGAGAAAATAAGAGGGGGAGAGAGAGCGCACGTGAAAGAGAGAGGGGAACTGGAGAGGTGAGAAGGAATCAAAACAAAGCAATAAAGCAAGTAAACAGGTCGGCCATATGGCTATCAGGAGCAATTAGGAGAATTTCACTGTAGCAGCAATTATATCTGACTGCAATGGTTAGAACAGCCACATACACACAAGCACACACACAAACACCCACCAAACACACAGCTACACACAGCATTACAGGACACACTTCACTCTCAGGGTGGCTGTTTGGGGACAAAATAAAACAATCATCAATCTTGTATCAAAGCCTTGTATCCATCAAACCCCATCATTCTGCATCAAACACCATCAATACCTAACAACCACCACCATTGCCCAAAAAACACCGACATTCTCCATCAAACACCATCATTACCCAACAAACGCCAACATTCTCCATCAAACACCAACAATACCCAATAAACACCAACATTTGCCATCAAACACCAACATGCCCCAACACCATTATTCTAAGTCAAACACTAACATTCAACACTAAATACTATCATATTCCCCCAAACACCAATTTATTCAACAAACATCAACACTCTCAAACACCATCTTTACACAACATCAACATTCTCCATGAACACCAACATTATCCAACAAACACCAACATTCTCCATCAAACACCAACATGCCCCAATAACATCATTCTCCATCAAACACCAGCCTTCTCCTACAAACACATCTTCACCAACCTTCTCCAACAAACACTTCATCAAACACTAACATTCAACATTAAATACCATCATATATCCACCAAATGCCAATTGTACCCAACAAATATCAAGTCTCAAACACCATCATTACCCAAAAAACACCAACATTCTCCATCAAACACCATCAGTACCAACAAGCACCAACATTCTTCATCAAACACATTCAACATTAAATACCATCATATTCCACCAAACACCAATGTTACTCAACAAACATCAACACTCTCAAACACCATCATTACCCAACAGCAACATTCTCCATTAAGACCATCATTACCCAACTAACACCAAAATTCTCCATCAAACACCATCATTACCCAGCAAACAACAACAATACCCATCAAAACGCCATTAGCACCCAACAAATACCAACATTCTCCATCAAACACCAACATGCCCCAACACCATTATTCTCCATAAAACACTAACATTCAACATTAAATAGCATCATATTTCATTGAACACCAATGTCACTGAAAAAAACATCAACACTCTCAAACACCATCATTACCCAACTAACACCAAAATTCTCCAACAAACACCATCATTATCCAACAAACACCAACATTACCCATCAAACACCATTAGAACCCAACAAATACCAACATTCTCTTTGAAACACCAACATTTGCTTTCAAACACCATCATTCTTCATTAAACACCAACATTCCCCATTGTAGACCTCCATTAATACTCCATTAAATGTACTCTCTAATGCTGGCTGTTGGCTATATGATGTTCCAGGGACAGAACTCATGAGCCAAATTAAAATAGCACTCCAGGTTTCAGACACACTGCCATATCTGAATCACCACTGACCATTCTGTTAACCTTCGTCCACTTTCATCCAGACATCTCCAAACGCATGTGCTGGATGAGGTGAAGAGCACTTTAATCCACACACAGCAGCAGTGACTGAATGAGACAATCAAGCAGATTGGATCATTTGTGAAAATACAGGAAATTTCAAATTTGCCAGTGACGTGGAGTGAGACAAGAGATAATAAACGTGTTTACTTGAGTGCTGAGTGTGTGTACGAGAGCGAGGAGTTCTATAGCTAACGAGAATGAGGCTTGCGTGTGCGCGAGTGTGCGGAAAACTCCGGCACGCTGTACCGCTTCCTACCAGACACGCCGTTCGCACACTTGTCTCTGGAAAGTGCTAATTACAACACTTCCATCTGTCTGGTGACCATATGCAAGCATGAAAAGAACAGCTACAGAGAGAGAGAGCGCTCGCAAATGCACAGAGACAGAGCGAGAGAGAGAAAGAGAATGAGTCTCCAGAACTGTGTTGTGGAACACAGCCATATGCTTGGAGAAAGATTAGCAGAGGAAAATGGATTCTTAATGAGTAATCTACGGGAAATCTCTCAACCGAGAGACCAAACTTTGCAATTTCACATCTAGCCTATCCAAACCATTATTATACACCATTAAAGCTCACGTTTTTTTTTCACTACAATTACAAAACACTGCAAAAACATCTCTAAATAGCTCATCCGACAACATCAACCACACATAAGCCTGTCTGATCTCTTCCCAGAGGTGGGCAGAGTAGACAAATAACTGTACTCACTGTGAAAAGAGAAACAGTAGAAGCGAGTTTGAAGGTTCTTTATTTTGCTTTGTGTTGTTTCATTCAAAGTAGTATTGAGCAGTTTTGCCAAAAATATCAAATTATAATGAAAGGTTTTGACGTTTTAGTATTTACATCATGGTATATCTGTTTTTACCTATTTTTGTAGGTTAACAGTGGCTTTTTATTTTGGGTAACACTTTATTTTGAGTGGTTCTTTGTAGATTATCAGTGACACATCAACAACATATCAGTGAAGTAGCAGTAGTGAAGCATCTAAACACACTGAAGTAAATATCTTGAAGATGTTCTGTTGATACACTACTTACAATAAGTAGATGTACTGTTAATGTTACACAAAACTTAACCTTACCCAACCTTACCCAAAACCTAACCCTAACCCTGGCCCTAATCCCAACCCTAACCTTAACCTCAACCCAAAACCTAATTCTAACCCTCATATATTTTGACATGTTGAGAGTCCGTTGAGTGTTTGTTTCAACTAAAAGTGCCATTCAAAATAAAGAGTCAACTTATTCTGGAATGTTCTTTCACTTTTTAAAAAGAACCATTTTTAACAATCCAGAACTTTTATTTTTAATGCGCAAAGTATTGCTTTGCAGTAGTAGCCCTGTGGGCCCAGAAAAAACTGAGCTAAATGTTGTTTCACATCCTAATGTCTACAAGGCTGAAGTTGGCTTCGTATTCGGCAGCTGTTTGTTTGAATTTTACGTTCCACTTTAAATGGAGAAGCACTTACATTCTGCCATCTGTAAAGGCGCCTGAATGTAACCGCTGCATCATTTATGGCAGAACAGGAAATTCAAATAAGAAGCCAACTTAAGCTTTGTCGAATTTCTCAAGTCATTTGTCTCATACTTGTATCCCACATATAAACAGAACATGCTGGAAATTTGGAAAATAGTACCATCATTCACCCTTCAGCTCCAGCTAGTCCAGCTAGTGTTTCATGCACAAGACCCGGACAATGCAGCATCATCTGATGCAGCTGGTGGCATGTGGTGTCCAAGTTAGGCTGATGCTATCCCAAAAAGGGTAGTCGTTACCTTATTTCTGCTGCCT